ATGATGATGATGATGATGATGATGATGATGATGATGATGATGATGATGGTGGTAGTGGTGGTGATGATGATGATGATGATGATAATGATGATGATGACGGTTGATGATCATTTGCAATCTTCATGTTTCTTTGTTAAAGACTAAGTGCTTAATTACTGTAATTAGTGTTTCCTGACCATAAAGTTTAAAAGCTCCTTCACGTATCGTAACCCACGCGTGTATTTTACTCATGACGTATCTCGATGACGTCACGGTTACATGCCGCGCGTGTATTTTACTCGCAGTAATCTTGATGACGTCACGGTCACGTGTCGCGCGTGTATTTTACTTGCAGTGATCTCGACGACGACGACAAGCAGGATCTGGACAGCTTTCTGCAGAAGCAGCGATCCATGCTGCGCCAGAGAGACAGGACTTCTAGCATCTCGAGCGTCACCAGCGGTGCCAGCGGCGTCAGCGGCGTCAGTGGTTACGGACGCGACTCGCTGTCCGGTTACCGCGATCCTGCCGCTCTACGCGACCTCACCGGCGGCCGCGACAGCCACAGCGTCGGCGGTTCTCGCGAGATTTCGGGACTGGGTCTGGGCGGCGGCGCGCGCGACCGCGCCGGCGGCAGCTTCCGCGACAGTGGCTCCTCCCTGAAGGACGGCCTGGGAAGCTTCCGGGATGGAGGAGGCAGCTTTCGGGATAGCGGGAGCAGTATCCGGGATAGCGGAGGCAGCCTCCGGGATAGTGGAGGCAGTTTCCGAGATGGAGGAGGCAGCTTCCGGGATAGCGGGGGCAGCTTGCGTCGCCGGGATTTTTCGAGCGAGGCGCCGTCCCGCCCCTCAGGTAGGTTTGGCAGGAGAGGCAGCCTCAGTATCCTGGATCACGAGGAAAGCTCGGACGCTCCGAGGGAGAGCTACACTCGGCCACGCCCGAGAGGTACGGGGCAGCTTGCGCATGCGCAGCGTGTGCATGAGTTAAAACAACAGCTCTAGCGCGTACCCTGGCATAATACACCCACTGACATATAATATATAATGACATATAATATATAATGACATATAATACACCCACTGACATATAATATATAATGACATAATACCTACTGACATATAATATATAATGACATATAATACCTACTGACATCGTCGCTCGCAACTCACCATCTTTCTAACGAATCTATCGAATATTCATGATCGATTAACGATTGTGAAGCCGACATTGAGGGAGACGAAGGAATGCTGTCATTTTTCACATAAGCGTCAGCAGACGATTCGTGCAGTGGTGGCTGTTCACTTGTTGTAACTAGCACGCAAAATCGGCACCTACCCCTCCCTTACTGACATATCGTTTTTCATAAATATAATAACGCATACTAATATAACAACACATTCAACATAAATATTACCATAACTATATACTGGTTATTGCAATAAGTTTGTATACACCCTCATAACATCGCTCGTAGAATCCATGCTGCATATGATGGAAAAATTGGCGAAGTTAAATTGGTGAATAAATTTACGTTCTGACGATTGTAACCCATCTGGAAATTCTGACAGAGTGCTATTATATAAAACTAATGCAGTCCTCAACAATACTGGGGTTTCATTCTGCAATGTGTGATAAGTGAAGATAATAACAAAATAATAATAATAATAATAATGATAACAACAATAACAATAACAAAAATAACAACAACAATAACAATAGCAACAACAACTGAATAATATGGATGCAAGTGGTTTTTATTTTATTTTGTTGCTAAATAATCGTTAAATCTTTTATTCCAAACATCGGCAAGAAAAATTTATTTGAACTTTGTGTCGTGGATTCTTTTAAAGTACATAATTACAATTTACATATATTCGATCAAACAAACGGTTAGGCCATTTGATCGTTATATCCATCCATTGATCACACGCACTCGATGTCACCCCCTCTTACATGCGCGCCCACCCGTAGTGGTTCTACTAGCAGTCATTTCACATAACGTCGCGCAGGTCGTTATGATTTCACGCGAGAATTTTTTTTAGCAGACTTTTACCTTCTATAACTCTATTTAGGTCGCTTCATGTTTCAGTAGCGCAGGGCAGATCAGGCGAGCGTCCACGCACTTGGTTTGAGATGAGCACGCAAGATCCGGGCGACGGCGACGACGACGACGACGATGACGATATCTAGCGCGCCTCTGTTGTTGTGTAGCGAGCGGAAGGTCGCGTCTTTGGTAACGGTAACAACGGTTAATCATGCCTGGTTATTGTGTTACCTCGTTGATGAACCGCACGTCGGCATTCTAACATGCACTGTATGTGGAATTTCTAACACTAACCCCCGCAACTACTAGTCAATGTCGAAACTACAACAGGGAGGACAGTGGAGGTTAGTGTTATATGTCGCACATGCAATGTGTGTCAGAATTCGGACATACACTTAACCGGGTTCATCCGCATGCGAAACTGCAGCTCTGAATATGATAGTCGAGCATGTTTTTTTTCAGGATTTCAGGTTGAATCTCGATGTGTTTTTAAGAATTTGAATTAAGGTCGCGATTCAGATGGTAGCAATTTCCCGTCTTCGTGGTTGATTTCTTTTGTTTATACTTCTCCGTGTTTGTTTTGAATTACCCGATTAATTACCCGAGTTGCGACGACAGCGATATCTGCCTTTAGTTCCAGTCTACTTTACTCTGCGCTTTTATTTTCTGTTCTCATGACCCGATGTTGTCCGCAACTAATGTCCAGAGCTAATTTTCAAGACATATTGTTATCTTATATCGCTAGATCACAGTAGAAACAAACAGCTTTCTTTTTTTCGTAAAACGTTCCAAAAACGTAAAATCCGTTTAACGGACAAAGAAAAAAAAAGAGAAAATAGTTAGAATGTAACTGTATTTGACGCATCCGACCACACGCAAACGCGGCCGATTTTTTTAAACCGGAAAATAAGATTGCGTCATTATTTTAAGCATGTGTGCCAGTCGCTGCTGTCAGAGTTCGCCTCACCCTGCTAATAGCAAAGGTTCATCCGCGTCCAAACTCTAACACACACTGTATGTGTGAGTTCTGGGTCGCATAGTTAGTGTTGTGATTTTAGAACTAACCCCTTTCGTTTGGAATTCTTACATTTACCCTACTAGGCTGTGTATATACATCAATGTCAACGCGTCTTCGTTAAGATGGATAACAATAACAATACGACAAGCGTGTGATTTTGCCTCTCTAATGCGTTCTCTCTTACCCCTAAGCTGGAAATTTTATTAAACGACGAAATTTCCACATTTATCTAACGGTAGTTAGTCTTAGGAATCCAACATACAGAATGTGTTAGCATTCGTTCATGCTCCTGCCTTGTAATATCTCTATACATATTGATACTATGTCTAAAGACGACTTGTATGCTTCGTGAGCGTGTACGTGCCGCGTGCTAAACTTTGCTGGTGCTATGTTAAGATTGAGATTTGTAATTTAACTCATTCGAGCAGGATTAATTACATGATTAAATGCAATCGACTCGTGTATAATCAGGAATAACTTTAATCGAGATGCAATAACTTATTATTTATTATTTATTTCCGCGATATATTTAGTCTAGTACAATAAGGATCGGTGCTATAAAATAACTGATAATTGAATTTCAAAACTTGGATTTTTTTGCGTAGAAACAGTGTGTCATACAACATGTTAAAATATAAACTGTAAAATGATCCTGATTGCTTTGTGACTGCGCTTTCTGTCTTAATACTATTAATCAGACGTAGCGTTAGTGATTCGTTCTCTGGCGAGAATGTCTCACGCACGAGGTATATTCAAGCCTCATAAGACTCAGGAGTGTATAATATAGACAAATAAGCTATATTATACACTCCTGATAAAGTCAAACGAAAACAATTTTTTTCTTCGGCGAATTTTTTTTCTCCGTCTCTGGTCTCTGGATAGAGGGCGTGCCACACGCAAGAAAGAAAGATGACCTCTGAATGAATGTTGCAATTTACGCGCATTTAATTATTTTATTATAACTTTCTCATTGCGCGCCGCAAGGCCACGGACTGATTTATCTGGTGACGGGAGAAATCTTGTCCACCAGTATCTATTATAACGTGCAACGTTTGGGACACCGCTAAACCTCGAGATTATTGTCTCGGAATCTCTCCCAGCCTCAATGAAAGCTCACAGGCATGACTGCGGTTAGAGTACCGTGCGGCGACGTCGCTCGTACACGGTGACGTCACTCGTACACGGTGACGTCACTCGTACACGGTGACGTCACTCGTAAACAGTGACGTCACCCCTATACGGTGTCATAATACGATATCTAGTATGGATGGACGCGCGTAGTCATGCGTGGACGCGGCTGGGAAATCATAACAACCATGACGCCATGATGTACGAATTCAGATGCATTTTAAATCGATGCCTGCTCTGCCGGTTGGGTGTCATTCGTCTCGCGAATGGAAAAACAGTCCCACGAGGTTAGAAAAATATATGACGTATCTATCCCTGACTGTCAAACGATGACCTCCGGCACCCGATGGGATTATATCCGCGAAGAGCATAATGATCAATATCACGTCAATATAATCATTAACGTCGTCAAGCGTTGGCAGAAATATTATAAATAGTTATAACTATCATTAATTTAAAATGTCATTGCACTACACTTTACTTCAAAAGTGACGACATTTTAGATATATAAAGGTCTTCGCTATTTATGGTGTATTTGGAATCAAGATGGCCGCACGGCAAACACAATAATGACTAAATATTCCAACGTCAACTTCGCACTATTTCCAAACTTCTGCGCCTAGCAATCACTGATCTCTATATAGTAACACACACACACATACACACAACACACACACACACACACCACAACACACACACACACACACACACACACAACACACACACACACGAACACACATACAACACATACACACACACACACACACACCACAAAACACACACATCACACAAACAGCGACACACACACACACACACACACACCACACCACAGCACACACAACACACAGCACACACACACACACACATATAAATAGTATAATAATACTGTTAGATATAGACGTCAAGTGTAACCAACGCCGTTATATGGTGACGTCACACCTGTGGCGTTATACTGCGGCGATCATTTTTGGCGATAAGTGTGGCGCGCGTTCGGCCCGTGAAATACTGGAGCGCGTGATATATAATAATAGAATAATATAGTATATATATTAATATAGTAGATAATTTGTCGTCGTGCAGGTGCATGTGCGTGTGA